CTTACAATGTTACAGAATCTTAATCATTATGAATTGATTTTGTCACGAGCACACTCAAATTACCTTGCACAAATATCTATTGAAATTACACAACTTAGCAACAAAACCAATAATATTATAAACAAGTTAACAGCATTTGCCACAATACTTTTACCAATGAATGTTGTAACAGGTAGATTAAAATAAATAAATAAAACATGATTAACATGACTGATAATATATTATTAATCTATTTATTGTTATTGTAGGATTATTTGGAATGAATGTTAAAGTACCTGGTCAAGATGAGGACAATCTCATATGGTTTCTCTCGATTGTTGGAGCAATTTCATTGTTTGGATTGATAGGTTACTTCATAGTAATGAGAATACAAATTCATTAATTTGATAAAAATATGATTGATAAATTTATTTTATAATTTTAAATTTTGGAAAAATCATATTTCAATAATATTGATGATGATAATAATTTAATTAGGCAATAAATTTAGTACACCTATATCTCTTAAGAGTTAATATTTAAAGATTAATTATTAGTAACAAAGAGATTAATCAATAATTAAAATTACCATTACAATTACTTGTCAATTTATTGGAATTAATGGGTTAAGGAGGACCTGTTGATTTTAATAACTTGTTAGTATAAATAGCATTTGAAGGATCAAAATTTTACAAAATATTTTGTTCATTCATTCATATTTAAAATATTTCCTTCCAAGATTAATTGAATCATACCAAAATTTAATAGGTCATGTAAAAATAAAATTTACAGAAGCTGCATTTATTTTATAATGGTAGTTACCATTGCCACAATAACCAATTATGGCAGGTGTCTTTAATCATAATTATTATTACTATTAATCATTAAATATTAATTTCTTAAGACATACCTTTTTTTTGGGTGCACTAAATTTATTGCCTGATTAAATTATTATCACTACAGTCAAACCTCGATAAATTGAACTAATATAAACCAATTTTTGCTTTATAACAATACCAAATTGGTTAATCAAATCATATTTAATAAAAATTATTTCATTAAGTCGAATTTTATTAATTGTAATTTCTACTTGATAAACTGAATCTAACATTCAATGCAACATAATAAAATGCAACTTTCTAAGCAGAATATTTGTGAAAACCAGTTGATCATAAATTGATGATAAAATCCAGTTTACTCCACCATACTGTCAATCACCCAAACCTTTTATAAATAAAATTTATTATTTTATACATTTTTACATTTGAACAATCAATAATAATAAAAATCGTTTTTCATAAACTGAATTTTGATAAGCCAATCCTATTTTTGTGATTCCCAAAAGTTTGGCTTATCGAGGTTTGACTCTATGTAGTAATAATACTAAACAAAAAAAATGAGGTTTTCCAAAAATCCAAAAAATCCAAGATTATAAAAAATAATGTTTTATCAAGTTAATGATTTTTGTATTCTCATTATTATGAAGTAACTTATCAATCCAAACAATGTAAGTGCACCAACAATTGAGAAAAACCATATGAGATCATCCTCATCTTGACCAGGTACTTTAACATTCATACCAAATAATCCTACAATAACAATAAATAGTAGTATTATTGATTAATAATATCAGTCATGTTAGTAATGTTTTATTATTTATTTAATTTACCTGTTACAACATTCATTGGTACAAGTACTGTGGCAAATACTGTTAACTTATTTATAATCTCATTGGTTTTGTTACTAAGTTGTGTAATTTCAATAGATATTTGTGCAAGATAATTTGAATGTGCTCGTGACAAAATCAATTCATAATGATTAAGATTCTGTAACATTGTAAT